GGTTCTGAACCAAAACACGTACATAAACGGAAGGCTGAACTGAGTGAGTATATTTGCTGCAAGACTTTGTTCCAACCCAAAAACTCGACCATGCACGTGAAAAAAGGAGATAAAGCCACTCACATTATCTCATTGTTTCTTATGATTTTAATCGCAACAACATCATTTCTTTTCTGATCAGTACACCTAACCACGTTTCCAAATACTCCCGCACCAGTATAACCAAAAACTCTATACCGGCCATCAAGAACTTCTCCAATTCGAACGCCTGGAATTCACAGTGACCCCATAATCACATAGGCTGAAAAAAGTGATGGACTAACGATAGTATCCCTCGGCATCGTCCCAATTATCTCTGAGCGTGTCATTCACCTGTTGTCCTTGCGATTGTACGACAGCTTCATCAGCCACAATGCCATCCTATAACCCAGACGTGAAGAATGATATGATATTAAACTATGAGAGTAAAGGATTATGCAGCCAAAAGAGGTTTTTGATAAAAAACAAAGCATTGCTTTTTAGGCAAAAAGTAGTGTTTTTACCTGCGGCAAATCGGCGTCATCTGCAAACATGTCAAACTCCGCCTTAGATTTTGCGGCTGGTTTCGGAGGCTCAACATCACCTATCTGTTCTGGCTTAAAATTGAAGGATATAAAACCATTAAGCCTATGCATGAACATATTTGACCACAACGCTACAGATGGATTGGAACATAATCACACTAGCAAAATGACTATAAATTAAACCAACAGATATCACTGCCTTCTCCTTCTCTTCGTGATATTCTCGTTCTCGCTTGGCATCCGCTTCTTCTTCCTTCTTTCCTCTAAGTAGTGTTTCTTCGACGATATGTTCATCGGCACCCCTCAAAACAACCGGTCCACGATAAAAGGGTGTGTACAAAAAGAAAAACGCACTTGACGTGAACCATCTTCTCCCTCAAATCAGCAAAAAAATCGCCTGGGGTACTCTCGCCATTATCTCTATCAGGAGACGATAAGGCACTGCTACTCATAGGGCTTTCGCTTCCCAAGGTAGCCCGAAATGCAATGTTCAATAGATTGATTTAAAAAACAATTTAATTGAAAAGTACTACCTTTCCCACAAGACGATAAGCCTCCTTGATAAGAGCATTCTCCTCATCAGAACTGTCATCAGAATATACTTTCGTTTTTGTCTATAAAATTCCGAAAAGAACAATAACAAATAGACACCAAGCGTGAAACTTCCCAAAAACAAAAGTGGATGTATTTATGCTTACACTTTCCCCCTTCCTACTCATTTGCTGCAATAATCTCTGCCTTCGCTCACGTTGCTCTCTGATTTTTCTCTCTTCTTCTTCAGAATCCTCTTCAAGATTCCACTCAACATTGAGTAGGATATCATCATCCTGCAAATATCTTATTATAGTGGCCATATAAATTTGCTTCTTCTGTAGAGATTCTCAGTGATAGTGTGCTTAGATGGAGTGATCTACTTCGTTTTTTGGACCTCCTACATGAACTCTTTCTATCGTCAAAAACCAATTACAACTCTGAATGTTAAATTCA